AATAATCACTGCTAACAAGGATTCGATAATTGACAATCAAGACAGTCGTATTTTCGGATCATACAGTTACTCACTACCAACAGCAACTTTCAACCCTCCACTGCCCACGTATGCAGATAGTCTCGTATATAATAGTAAAGTTGATTTAGATAAAAGATCCTTGCACATTCATAATTTGTTGAGAACTGTTACAGAAACAGATTTACACCTCTTATTTCCAGTTGCGTCGTCAATACAGTTGCATAGTAAAAACGATTTCCATACAAAGTAATTTGTGTGAATGATTGTCTTCCTGGTCATCTAAGTGTTTTTGTCCTTGTTCAGGTGTGCCATCGTCAAATTTAAAAATAAATTGGATGCAATAACTTATTCTCAAGTGCATTTCGATCCAGTAATATTTGGTTGCGAAGTGCAAACCAGGTATTCAGTTGTTGCAGATACTACATCACAAGGTCTGTTGCAGTTCATACTGGTTGTGTGAAAGAGAGAGCAGACACCGTAGCTTAATTGCAAAGACGTAGACGATGCTGTTGAGGTCCTGCACGAGCATTTCAGGGGTCAGGAACCTTGTAGAGAAAAAGCTTACCAGATCGATATATTTTGAGAAGTGCGTGTGTGTTTGGTGAATAACTGTCAATCTTACAAGTTTAGTTATGTATGAAACCGTTTTCCGAAGAGAAGATAGTCTGCGTCATAAACTCTCAATCCTGGTCTTCTTATTCAGTAAAAAAAAACTCTAAAGTTCGTGTTCAGTGCTGTCAAAAGTGAGAGTTTCAAAGGTTTGCCTATGAAAGAATCGGGAGTTAGTTTGAAGCAGACGTTTCAATGGAAATATAACGCGAACGGAACGCTTTGTACTCTTTTTAGATGCTGATGATTCACACTATGGTAATCAGGAAGAGCGGTCAGACAATTGTAGTTGCTTCCTGGTAAAGTATGGCCCAGCAACAATTAAACCCAGAAAATATCCAGCATTGACGCTTGCAACTGGTCGACGATCGAAATATGACATATTATCGACACCGGAAGCTTGTCGTCGTGACATTCGTCGTGTACGAAACCGTGCAGCACAACGACGAGCAACAGAAAGGCGTGATGAAATTCATGCTAATTTGAGTGAACAGGTGAAATTGCTGGAAATTGAACGTTATTACTTGGAGAATGATATTCAGCACCTGAACAGGAGAAAATTGTTGTTAGAAACGTTGATATTAAAGTATAAAGAAGAATGTGGTGCTTGATCATCTGCTGTTCCCTGACGCATATTCACCGAGCTATACACTAGAGAAGAAGCGCACCATGTATTCGACTGTTGTGGTAAGCCGAAAACAGAAACAGTTGTTTTATCTAATATAAAAGAATATGGATTAGAGCCCAACTCTAACAAACTAGTAAATATGACTGGAAAATCAACAGCTTTTCTAGCAGACGGCTTATCCAGCTAACGATCCCCTTTTTTTGCTCTTTTTCGAAAAATTATTGCAATAAAGCTACAAACGATATAAAATTGTAACTAGATAATTAAGTAGACTAAACATTTCTCTACAAAATGAAGAGTGTCTCGGCTCTGGACGTTGATTCACTATGAAAATACAACTATTGTACCAACAGTCTAAAAAATAGCTTTTGGGGCTATCTGAAAAACGTGTCTAACAGCGTACAGGCAAGCAACTGAAAATGCACCAAGTATACCAATTTGTAGAAGATGACACGCTTTTCAGATAGCCCCAAAAGCGATTTTTTGGGCTGTCTGTACAATAGCTGTATTTTCATAGGGAATCAACGTTCAGAGCCGAAACACTTTTCATTTCGTAGAGAATTTAATCTACTTTTTACTTTACTAAGTTTAATCTACTTAATTATCTAGTTGCAGTTTTAGATTAGTTTGTAGCTTTATTGCAATAGTTTTTTAAAAAACAGCGAATAAAGAGAACCGTTAACGGGACAAGTCGTAGATGTAACGTAGACTTGTAGGAGGCCCATTACTGACTTTTACATTCTAGTGATCGTGTTTACAATAAAGTTCGTTGTCACGTTTGTCAAATACTTAAGTTGGATATGGGCGAAAATGTACTGTCATTAGAGATAAATTGCTAGAGAAAAGAAATGAAAACTAGCGTGATAGAAAATATCCGTCGTGTAGTCGATTCCGCATTATTATTTGTGTACGAAAAATATTTTCCTACAGTTGATTGAGAAACAGGTGTGATACTTAGTTTACTTATAGTAATTCCTTATGACTGATTTTTCAAGT